AGAGATGGCCAGCAGTATCCTTCCCACCCCCCTGCCGAGAGGTCAGCCTCCAGCCCTGCAAAGCCCCTCCTTCTTCCCCGCTCCGCCATTTTTGAACTCACCACTTGGGCCCAGGCGTCCCTCGATTAGAGCCGCCCGCTCCGGGCGCTGCAAGGTCGCCGCACTTCCCGAGCCGGAAGGGGGCAGCAGGAAAAGACGAAACCCTCTTACCCCCCCCCCCCCCCCCCCAGTTGGAAACCTGAACCTGACCGAGCGGGCGCACATGCGCAGTGGACACCTAGTAGTCCCCGCCCACAGCTCCAGCGTTTCCTCTCTTAGCCTCCAGGGTGGTTTTTCCCACGGTTTTTACCTGCTAGGCTCTGGAGTTGAGAAATAAGGGAATAGAGGTAAAAGAATGAAAAAGAGAAGAGACAATGGAGCTCAAATTTTGAGTTCTTACTATAGACCAGGTACTGTGCTAGTCATATAACGTGTTCTTTGTTGTAATTTTGATAACCTTATAAGGTAGGCACTCTCTTATTAAACCCATTTTACAGAGGAAACTGAGGCCCAGAGAGGATAATTATCCCAATATCACGTGCCAAATAAATGCGAGAACTGAGATTAGAATCGGATCTGTTTCCAAGGAGGTAAGGTAAGGGTGAAAGGAATGACAAGAAAGGAAGACCCTGGGAGTCGCAGGGGGTTAGGATTGGGAAGTAACAGGAAAATTAATAGAGGAGAAAGAAAGCAGACGGAGAGGAAACAAAGGAAGTTTGTGTACATAAAATCTTATCATACCCCGGGTTTATTTCAAATATGTTGTAGGATTGTTTGATTGACATACGAATTTTTGTTTCAGGATCTTGGGCTTTTACAGGCTAGTGTAGTGAGATGATGGGTTCTGAATATTTTATTTCAAAGGGAAAGATAATAAGTATCCTGCATTGTCAAATGATGTTTCCTTTCCCAAAAAGGGAACTTGGAGGGAGGGGAGGAAAGAATTTTCTTTTTGGTTCTTACGTGTTTGTTAAGATATTATCCCTTCTGATCACCTTTCACTGTCACATCTCAGAAATCCTCACATCTGATTTATTGCAATAATAGTAATTGTAAACAAATATTTATCTCATTTAATTCTCACAGAAATTGTATTTAGTATGTAAGTCATCCCTATTTTACAGATGAGGAAACTGAGACTTAGAGAGGTTAGGTCACTTGCCCAAAGTCATGCTGCTAGTCTGTGTGGAAGCTAGAACAGTGATTCAAACCCAGATCTGTCTGATTATGTTAGGTTGGGACAAGGAAGAAGGGAAACAGATGCTTTCTCTGAGGGGGGTTTGCATTGAGAAATAAATGACAGTAGGAGATTCTTTGTCTACTAGGAGGAACAAATTGACCAGAAGTGAGGCTTTCAAGAAAGAATAGATGATGTGTCAAGGGGTCTCCAGGGACTGACCAGATATTTGGTCTACAATAAAGGGTCTCCAAGGACTGACCAACCAGAAAGAGGTAGAAAGGCCACAAATGAGGGTCTTTAGAGCATGAGTACAAGTAAGGTGACAGTATCTTCAAGTGACCTACCCTTATTAACATAGTAAAAATCACACCCAACAGCTCCATGACAGATTACAAATACCATGACAACCCCCAGAAATTGCCTTACAAAAATAGAAAAGGGGAAGATTCATCATTCCAGGAATTCTCCACATTTTCCCAAGAAAAACCATGAATATTCCACCCCCCACTTAACATAAAATTAGGAAATCAACATAAAAGGGAAAATCTTGTTAAACTCAGGGTCTCCTCCACTCGTTGGGGTTGACCTATTCCTTCTCTGGTATATACTATACTTTAATAAACTGTCACACTTTGCTTGCTTGCATCTGCTTGGTCTGCTCATTTACTCTGTCGACTCGGTACTGGTAACCATTGTTCGGTACTAGAAACCAAAAACCAGGAAACACGGGGACCTAACATCCAGTTCCTATACCTGATAATCACAGATGTGTCTAACCATTACCCAGTCTACTAACTGACTTCTCTGTCCCGAGACTGGTTTCCCCCAATCCAGCCTGCATAAAGCCATCTGAGTTAAATCCTTCCATACTGCCTCCAGGACAATATTAAAATTCCTTAAGTTCATGTTCACTCTACCCTTGGGTACCCTACCATATCTTCTAACAAATCAGAGTTACTCACTGTGACCCCACCCATCCCCAGTTTTCCTGCCTTCCAACTAATTTGCTCAAACTGCTTCCTCTGCCTAGGTGAAAAGACTGCACCTATATGAAGCCTTCTTTGATTCCTTTAGCTAAAGGTCTTTTCTTCATCCTCTGAACTCTCTTGGCACTTGAATTTTTGGTTTTGCTTTTTTTTTTTTTTTGCACTTTTTTATTGTGGTAAAATGTACATAACATAAAATTTATACCAATTTAACCATTTTTAAGTGGCATTAAGTACATTCACATTGTTGCACAACCATCACTACCGTCCATCTCCGGAACTTTTTCATGTTACTTGGTACTTAAATTTGTACCTCTGGCTGGTCCTGGTGGCTCACACCTGTAATCCAAGGACTTTGGGAGGCCGAAGTGGGAGGATTGCTTGAGGCCAGGAGTTTGAGGTTTCTGTGAGCTATGATCATGCCACTGCACTCCAGCCTGGGTGACAGAGCGAGACCCTGTCTTGAAAAAAAAAATATGCCTCAGTCATAGCACATAGTGCTTGCAGCCATGTAGTATAGCTACTTGTGTACATACCTTATCTCTCCTATGTTGTAAGCTCATTTATGGCAAGATCTGTTTTGAGCTCATTTTGTAATTCCTCCAAAACCCTTAGAGTCATTTTTAATTTTTCTCTCTCATGTCCTACATCCAACCCATCAGCAAATCCTGTCATCTCTGTCTTCAAAATATATCTACAATATCACCAATTCTCATCAATTCCACTGTTATGACCCTAGTGCATCTCTCTCTTGGACTATAATAGCCTCCTCACTGGTCTACCAGCTTACATCCTGCCCCCTCCAGTCTATTTGGAACTGCAGTCTACAGCAACCAGAGTTATCCTCATGAAATATGTCAGATCATTGTTAATTCTCTGCTCAAATCCCTTCATTGGCTTCCCATTTCACTCAAAGTAAAAGCCACAGATTTACAATGACCTACAAAGGCTATGATAGCCAGCCATGAAGATGACCCTTAGTGATCTTTACCTCTTGCTATTTATACCCTTGGGTAGGTCTCTTCTATATTGAACCAGGGCTGACTATGTCACCAATAGAATATGTTGGAAGTGATAGTGTGTGACTTACAAGGCTAGGTCATAAAAAGCATTGTGGTTTCTGCCTTGCTCTCTTTTGGATTCTTTGCTGTGGGGGAAGCCAACTGTCATCTCATGAGGATACTCAAACAGCATGTGGAGAAGGCCACATGGGGAGAAACTGAGTCCCCCCATCTCCTCCTTCCCACCAACAGCCAATACCAACTTGCCAACCATGTGAATGAGCCACCTGAGAAGAGGATTCTTCAGGCCTAGGCTTCAGATTATTGCAACCTCTTGATACCCAAATCCAGAACCACTCAGCCAAGTCATTCTTGAATTCCAGTGTATTATTTTTTTCAATAGCTAAATTTTAGCACAATTTGTCACACAGCAGTAGATAACTAATACAAAGACCCTAAACAATCTGGATCCCTGTTACTTTTATGTCCTTGTCTCCTACTACTCTTCCCCTTGTTTCTTTGGTTTTCCTGCCTCAGAGCCTTGTCACTTACTGTTCACTCTT